AAGTATCGCTGCTAAGTTATGTATTATTAGTTGCAATTATAATTATCCGTCAATCCGGCAGCTTGTCTGGTCAGTGATCGCACAAATAAGTAAGAAGTAAGCACGGTTAATAAAGTAAACTCCTCGTATCAATGTTGACACCGTATCTGGAATAAATATATACTATATTACAATCACAACAGATACCTAATAAATTCATTAGCATTGATACAAAAATGTACTCGAATTATGTGCTTAATTCTATTCGTAAATAAATTAAAACTTACAATATGCATCTTACGGTAAACCCGATGCAAAAATTGTGAAATGCGAAATGCTTACTTTATACGCTACTGCAGAATAAACATAAAATGTAGCGCTTTCTTATCCATCCTAAACTAAGAATATATGTAAAGGTGCTTGCTCATGTACTGAATGTATAACTAGTAGCACTAAAATAAGGCCTTTAAGTAAGTCGGTTAGGTTGCATTTTGATTTACCAACTTACCTTAATTCCAATTTTATAGCGTAATGCCTAGAGTTATTAAGTTTATCTGCCAGTATTCGAGATTCATATCGCAAGCTATTGTTTTCCTCTGAAAGAGTTAACGTTAACGATCAAAATCAACATTTAATTACAGAAACTTCAAAATAATAACTTGTTATCATAACTTTGAATTGAAAAAGCAATGTGGAGCGCAATTGCCAATAATTCAGTAAGAATACAGCGATTGACATTGTCTAGTACAATATCGTATTTATGACGGTGATTAGGTCCTGCTGCAATTAGATTGGATTCACTTAACGAACTTCGAAAGCATTAGGATTACTTCTGAATTAAAAGGTAAAATGTACTAGTACCTAACTACGATATAACAGCAGCGTACATAGTTTTAAGAGACCTAAAATTTTACGCAGTTAAGAGCTACGGTTTCGGTGGAATTACAAAACGCATCAATAGGAAAGCTTTATCTCTTTCATACCTCGTAACTTCTCGAGTAACAAATTCACTGAAGCTAGCCTATTCAAATTTTATTTGAAGGTTAATAAATCGCTATTAGTACGTTAGATTCGGATTCTAATCACTAATATTTCCAGCTAGGGTACTGCCAAATACACGTATATAAGATCGCCAACAATATTCATTAGCTATACTCTAATATACAATTCATCAATCTAATCATTTTAATATTACAGATCCATAATTAATCCTGATCTCGAACTCTACCCTTATAAGAAATATATCCCTATTTATTAGCACATTAATAATTAATCAGCAGAATTATAATATGATAGAAAAAACTAAAGAGCTATCGTTGTAAGGGTTTGTTGTTATAATATTTGTCTTCCATTCATACATTATATTCAGTAATCATATTTACCGACTTATTACTTAGTGAATATTAAATCACCGTACCTTTTTTCTAATTTGTTTTTAGAATAAGCCAATACGGAAATTTTATTCGAAAAATTATTTAACTCGTTCTCTAAGTCTCGGCAGATACCCTGGAAATTTAATTCACCAATCAAATGAGCCATCTATCAATATTAATAGCCATATCGGAGTGTAATATTAATCATGAATAAATTACCTCTCTTTCGATATTTGGTGACGACGAAAGTAGATGCGTTATTTGATTGAGAACAGCTACCTTTTTTTCTTCAAAGACCGTTGCCTAAACAAGAATAAATAATTTGAGTAAGTTGATAAATTCAAGAACAAGCCGTTATTTTAATAGTTTATTAGCTATAGTAAAGGAGTTGTATTATATTGTTATTAACGTGCCTAAAGTAAATCAAGTTTTAATTATAAGACAGACTTACAGCTTGTCCTGCAATGATACTGTAACCATCTTTTGGTATTGAGCTATCTAGAGAGATATTAACAAAACTGTCAATGGAATTGCTAGTGATATTAATATCGACACTTCCAGAGGCGCTCGGTCTTTGATGGTCATACTTTCGGATACTAGCGCTAATCAGTTCAGTATATCTAGTAAAGATATCCTTAAATATTCCATTAACGAGTGTTGTCGCAAAAAGTACTTCTGGGTCATGCTTAATTTCGTGGATTTCTACATTCAAGGTAGTGCTATAATTTCTATTTCCGAAATTTTTACCATATGTTGAGTTCTTTCCATTTCTATCATATATACATGCAAAGATTTCTTCGACACACCTATCGGCGTAACTTTCTAAGTCTTTTAAGAAAGGCTGATTAACTTCAGGACAAGTCATTAAGATTCTCCTTGGATCCGTATCACATAATGGTAACGGCAAAATAATATTGCCTCTGTGAGATCCAGAAATTATTTCTGACTGTATTTCGCTGTGTAGTGACTGACCGTTTTCATTTGCCGTATTTAACATATTGTCGTGTTGCCAAAGTACTCTGTTAATATGAGAAATGATATTGGTGACATTTAAATATCATAGGAGCTATATCAATGCAATTTATCGCTTGATCATTATAAAACTGTTTCAGATATCTGAATTTAGATGTAAAATCATCATACGGTACCCAACTGGTGGGTATACGTATTACTCCTCATAAGCAATTGTAAATATAATGCACAGTACATTCCTCAATTTTTCGTGTAGTTTATGGGATTCTTACAACGGGGTAGTAAACCAATTTATGAGATTGATATTTAAATTCGGGCCGTAATACAAACAATGATTTATTCCTATTAAGATACTACTGCAGGAGCAAAGAGCTAGTTTCGACATATAAAGAATTTATGTTCATGCAAACCAATGGAAGAGAAAATACTGTAACCTACTCCTATTAACTAAGTTAGCAAGAAAATGTGTTTGATATACCTTTTATTCGACTCCTCCGATAAGGCCTTTTCTAGGTCAGCTATAATCTTACGCAAAGAATCATTTTCGTTTGTCAACTTGTTATTGATAGCATCCGTTCTCTTAGCTGATAATCGTGTCTTTAAGTAATACATAAATAATAAGATAATTACTTACATAATTGAAAGAGTAAACTGATAATGCATTGTAACGATATAATGTGATTGATTATATGATAGTAAAAATGAAGAGTACATTTGGTCACCTAACAATGAAAAAATTTTAAGATACTTGTATGATACTCCTTACAAATACATACCTGAGCCAAATCTGCTTTTAAACTTGAAAGTTCAAGCACTAGATAGTCAGTCTGAAATCTCTAGCAATTATAGAAACAAAACCATTAATTTGAGAACATCGCTTCTATAATTGAGTCGTCAGAAATAAACTGCTAAGATTCTCAATATTCTATAATTGATTACAATAATTGCTAATCACTAATTTGCAACGGATTTATTTAAATAGGGTGCAGTTTTGCAATACCGCATATCGCAAGTGGACTATACACTAGTTTCAAGATATTTACACTTTGTTTATGCTCATCCAACGTTCGATAAGCTTCTTGTTTTACTGTCTTCAATTCCTCCAGTGACGAATACGACTTATCAAGCTAAGAATGATACGTGTGAACCAAAATTAATCATGGTAATTTCATCGGGAATTCCGCCGAAAAGTTAGTTACTAGTCATTCAATACATATATACATTTCTTTAAGAATGCATAAAGAATACATCAGTAATAAACACTGGTAGTATTTTCCACCACAGTAATGAAAGGAAACGTAGATAATTAACATGGTACGGTAACTTACCATTTCATGTAATTCTTTTAAGTTCTTTTCAAGTTCAATGTTGTCCCTCTCCTGAAAGTAACAACAAGTGCTAGAGTTACGCTAAGTTACAAAGCTTCATAGATATGAAACTAACCAATTGTACATTTTTTCCTTGAATTCTATTTTTTGCCTGGCGCAACTCCGAAACTGAAGTAGATCATTAAAAATTACCAGTTTAAGATTGAAAATAGTGCACAAAAAATACAACTAAAGGTATACAAGATTGAGAGACAGATTAGAGACTGTAAATGCACATACCAGTAGACATTAACTCTTCGTTCTCCTCAAGTAAATGCTTATTATTTTCAGCAATATTTTGATTACTAGTAAATAACACTGAGTCAATAGCTAGACAGCAGTAGTCTGAATTCAAGAAAACTTTATTGACTTATACCTTATGACTTTTTTTCGTAGTTCACTTATTTCTTGTTCTAATTGCTGGTTTGAATCTTCTATTGCCTCCACCTATAATCAACAAATCAATTGATAAGTATTATCATCATCGCGTTATACTTCTGCTTATGCTAAGGTAATTTGATTCAACCAGACCTGTAAAACCGCTTCCTTGCTCTGTCTATAAAGTTCTCTATTTTCCAACTGGAGCTGTGACATTCTGCTTAGAAGTACAGTTTTGTCACTATAAGAAAAGATTCATTATTTACTTATTTAAACGGTTAGTTGATATATATCAGTATGCCTATGCTACTCAGTAAGTATCTAATATACGTACTTACAACTACTATTATAGTTTTAAAGTAAAAAATTAACTTCACTTAGCAACAAATAATCGAATCAACTTAACAATAAAAATCAATGAATGCTCTAATTACCGATCAGTTATATCCAGGAAGGAAGACGAAGGCACTGCACATTAGTCGAGTGTGCAGTTAGCGGGCAAAATTGTCGCGTATTTAATTAAAAGTTAGCATTAGTATCGATTAAAACTAAGTATAATTCTTTCATATATTTATCAACTAAAAATTTAAAGGATGAACACTATATATTACATAAATAATCCATTAATGAACAAAAGTACTCACTCGTCTTGTTTACTAACAATATAAATATTGCATACCTTCTTCATCAGTACTGTTCCATATTTCTTCGAAATAACTGCTTCTAGGATTTTCCTGGTATCAAAATATGCTTATTAGCTATCCATAACTTATCTACTAGTATAAGTAATCATACTTCGTCGATCAAGAAGTTTCAGTAGACTTAAGTGTCGTCAGAATGCTAAAGTAAAAACTTAACACAATCACGGCGCAAGAAGGCAGTACGAGTATAAGTCAATATAAAAAGATAACTGCATAATTTATTAAAACACTTAGGTCACCACAGCGCGTACCGTTTGATGATCAATTCCCACCACTGCATTTGCTGAAAACTCTGAACTAATTTTGAATTAATTATAATAATAGCAATATTATTAACAAATTCTTTTAAAGGGTCATACAGCATTTGACGTAATCCAAGTGAAGAATCGTACCTGAAATTACTTTTTTTGTATTTAAGAGATGAAATCCAGCGGCGTATAACTCTTTTGTACGTATCTTTCGCAATGAGAGGGTCTCCATTGCCTGGATCAAATAGTCTCGCCAATTCTTCCAAAGCTTCCGCAGACTAATAATTAATAATTAGGGTTAAATACGGCTATTAAGTTAGCTAATTTGTTGACATTTCCGCGATATAAAAGGCCATTAAATGAATTAAAGGTTACATTTTATCGCATACCTCTGTAGTATCAGGCAAAGCATTCTGTTTTAAATATGAAATAATCTTGGATATACGGACTTCGCCCGTTGATTGTACATCGCAAACTCTAAATAAGGTCTCCAACATATAATTATCATCTGCAGATAGGGCCTGATCAACATCAGCTTCCAGACTTACATCGAATTTTCCGAAATCACTCATGGCGAGAATTTTTTCTATGTAGACGATTAATCGCAATCAGCTTATAGACAATGATAATGTTATAACTGTTATCGGCATACCGATCTGACAGAACTATGTTTGGATATAAGTTCACACCCTCAATATAAAAGTGATAAGACTTATTCATAAGATACAAAATATTCCTTTTAATATAGCACTTTAATAAAATGGCAGGCTAAGCCTAGCAATAGCCAGTTAACTATTCATGAAGATGGTACGATTGATGGTCAAACACAACCTATTAGCGTATGTTTGTAGTATATATTTGTTATTAAACCGAGTTACAGTTGTTGATTACACAGTACGGTAATCTGGTCAAGCTAACTTTGGTAAAACGGAGGAAAATGATGAGTCAACTTGATCTAAAACGATTATTGTCATTGCGATGTTAATGAATATCTATTACTAACTTAAGCTCTGAACAATGCGAGCATGTCACATATGATAGAATATTGCCCGAATTGGCAGAACCTATTAAGCGCTTACATTACGTAATGTATATTGGATTGATGATAATACGTTTTGTTGTTAATATACGCGTATGTAAATGTTAAAGTACTATAATTATTTACAAATAGTATAGTACATGCCAAGACTATATTGTGAACAGGTATAGAAATTGGGAAATTTATCGATGACTGCACATCTTCGAGGGTTACATCTGTGTACTTTGTGTACAGCATAATAACATTGTAGCTAGTTATCCACGACTTGCTAGAGTCAAGAAAATAATAATACGCTGAATCAGTACTAGTACAGTAACCCTAATTCATTTTGCATAAAATTCTTTGTAAACTTCGTTCAAGCTATCCTACTTACTGTCACATCAACATAATATATGTATACTGTATTACTACAGCAGCACTCCGTGGTAGTCCATGATGACTACTGAACGTATTATTGTATTCCAAAAATACAGTAATAATTCAGTACGGGACTTGATAAAAGATACTGTATTACTGTATTTAATTTAAATACCATGATATTATCATAGTTATTATAATAATAATAACAAAATTGAACAAACAGAAACCATGGGAGGTCCTAGTAGCTGACATACAGTACTACTTACTGTAGTGATATTAGAGATATGTGCAGACTGTAGAAATTAGGGAATTCCAGTACCGTACTGTAGCGTAACATGATAGGCGTGTTGATTAAGAGGGTTGATTACAGTAGACTTTAATTCAGCCTGCAAGAGCGTGAGCGCACAAGCCAGCCCAAGCTATGCTAAAAATTCTCATTAGTAGACACCAGAGTATTGTAATTACAGTCTAGTATAATAAATAAATCATGATAATGAAATAATTACAGTAACATATTCACCGTACTATACTGTACTGCATAATGACAAATGTAATTACGCTTATAAGTGTTTAATTAATGATGTTGCAATGACAGATTGACGCAACACTGATATTTTGAAAATAAAAAGAAAGAATTATTATGCCGATAAGATCAGGTATAGAATGCAGCAATAGTTTAAATTAGCCTTTTTAATGGATTCTTTAGTATTAGTTAATAGTAGAAAACATTAAACTTCCTGCGTGTTTCGACTACAATTTACTGTTTCGAATCATGAATTCATCCATTAAATTCCTACTTTTAGGAAGATTTTGCAAGTTCTAGTAGTAAGTACGCAAGGTTATACAGTTACTGTATGTGAATTAGTACGGTCACAGTATTGTACTGTACAGTCCAGTACTGCAACATTGAGCTTGCAGGTACGTACTGAACAGTACATACTGTTGGGCGCCCTGAGCTGGTGCAGGCTGATTTACGAGTATGAAACACAGCAGGGAGGTAGCCACAATTCTGATTCAACTATAATCAATCGTAATACTGTACTGTAATCCTTAAAATACATTTTTCAAGACTGACTACTATTGCAGTATGAAAGCTTTCATGAGAAGTTACGACGCTAGCATAGTAATACGTTAATAATGAGTTTATAAATAGTTAGAGATTTACACCTAAACGAACGACATTCTGAAAAGTCCTCTCAGAACAGTCATACTGTAAACGTAGGAAGCTACATCCAGCATATTTTGCAACGGTGTGCAACTCGATATGTAATAGGAATAGGAAAGTTAATGACTCATACCTAATCTGACACTGTAGCCATAGTATCTTCGATGCTGTAATGTTCAAACTAACGGAGGTTGCAGCTTCGCTAGAGAAAGTATGAGCTTTGTTCTGGTAAAAAAAGCTACTAATCCTAGTTTTAAATGTTCTGTTTTGTAAATGTTGTATCACTGCGAACATCAATACAGTACTGTACAGTACAGTATAGTACAGTGTACGGTACTGTAGTCGACTTAATAGTCAACCCGAAACCCGACTTGAACCCCGACTCGAGACGGGATTCGGGTTAAGAATTTCTATGGTGATACAGTATTTGTATAGCATTTGTACTGTACTCATTTCGGGTTAGAAAATCAACAATGTGTTCGGGCTTTGTCGGATTCGGGTTGCGTTTTCACTCATTGCAAGACTCTGCTGTACAGTACAGTACTGTACACTATACAGTAGAAACTGCAGTAGTTACATTATTATGTACAGTACAGTACAGTACAGTACACAGTGTACTGTACTGTATATTGTACTGTACACATTGTACTATACACTGTACACATTGTACAGTACTCTACAGTACAGTAATGACTAGTACAGTACATGTACAGTACAGTATACTGTACAGTAGTAGGGTACAGATTAGTCAATCGTGTGGAGGATAGGAATCAAATTTAATTTTTATTATTTATCTACGCTTTAATAAGATATGGTAGTATGTCCTGCACTATACCATTACATAAATGCACGCAGTCGAGTTTAGACTTAAGAGTCATTTTGATTGCACTTCTACAATGATATGATAGAAGTGAGGTTATGGTACTGCACTAACTGACTCTACACGTTAGTGATTAATTAACTAAACTCGACGCATGTACACGTACACCTATCTAGCAATCCTAACAATAATATCATTGTTAATTAACTATGGTAAAGTAGATATTGCTATGATTTCGTGCACTAGTTTATTTTGTTTTATTCCATTTTACTAACAGTGTTTATCTGATTTACTTTACATTACCTTACAGTATACTGTAGCACAGCCCGATACGGTATGCTTCCCGTTACCATGGCAACAGTTTGAAGATTTAATTGATTTATCAATTCTGTACTTTTCTGCTGTTATACAATATTTAAATATCAGATGACACCCTCTATCGTAACGTACTGACGTTGCTACAGTATACAATACTATTATAAATAATATAATTAATATCATGCAAAGTAAAAAGTACAAGTACGTGCGTACAGGCTGTATACAGTTTGCGAAGTAGAACAGGCGTGGGTTACACTAATATACCGTAAGAATATATACGTATGTATATACAGCATATGTATATGTTATATACATAATATACCGTACATTTACCACAGGTAACTATTTAATCGCTAAAGTACTGCAGCCTGCATTGGAACTGATAGTAATAAAGCTAGCTTTCAGACTTATCCAGAAAATCTTTCCGTAGTCCGTAGAGTACCATTAAAATACAGCGCAAAATTTATTACATTTTTATGAAATACTGTACAGTACAGTACATGTTAAGATAAGATACATAGTGATCAGATATCGTACATTTCAATTTGTATTTTTAAGTAGATTGTAAGATGCAAGAAACAAACTCTGACATATATTAGAACAATTTTTTTCGTAAATATACAGCAGCTTACCTTATCGATCATCGCAATGTCCGTGTCTAAGGAATATCCAAGGCCGTCACCTACGACCGAAATTAGCATACAATTCGAACAACAGCTAGACCATGTAGCTAGGTGGTTAACTTTCTGGACGCATGAGCTAGTAAGTCATCAAAACTTATAAATGTACGACGAATTCAATCGAAGTAGTTTAATATACTTGTATATCATTTTAAGATATGTAAATAATCTAAATATAGTTAATACACGAGTTTAATATAGTATTTTGTGATACTTAAATAAGGACATTACTTAGAGTAGTTCGAATTTCATTTGGTTTATTAACATTTTAAAACAGTGCGTCGGCTTTCTTCAAAAACTACTACGGATTTGTACGCTGGATGAAATGAATTTTCTTTGGAGCGTAAGTTCTTAAATAGAGAATATATAATAATTACATGCTGTGATCTAAGTTACAACAAAGGTGAAACATAAAGTGCTATAATAAAGGCTATTACCTAGCTATTACTATATAAACCATATCACACATGATTGTACAACATAACTCTTATGAATGATCAGTATAATGTGTGCAATGCAGCTGCATAAAGTATAACGTAAACGACATTGCTGATTTGTCTTTTTCAGTTCAATGCATACTAAAATCAAGCTCTGTTTGAATATTTCTTTCTAAACAGTATCTTTGGTCAACTGCACCAAACTTATTAATGCTAGCAGTTAATAATATTAATTTTATGATATATGTGTCCTGGATTAATTGTAGGTCTCTGAACCGGCTTTACATCGAGATTTCCTTTACAGCTCCAGTCTAGACCATCCCTATCACGGTTTTATGCCCATATCAACCCATCGGAGTAGACAAATACGACGTAGATTAGAAGAAAGAAGGCTTCGGTCGAAGGTATTACTAGGCATAAATAGCTTCGTCACTAAAAGATGTACCCAGTAGCCAATTTAGTTCTTGCCACCCTAACGTATAAGCAATTGAAACTACAGTTATTACTACTTAGGGGAATGAGAAAACCATTCACAGAATGCAAAGTGCGATGCTTAGAAGTATGGTAAGTTACAATATTTGTATGTTTAATTGATTTCGAAATAGCACAGAAAATACGAATATATCAATATCTAATTGTATTTGTAAAAATCAGACCGATATAAAGCAGTTGTGTCAAAGTAACAACGCTCCAGAAGGACTCAAAAAAGAATCAGTGTTACCAACAATTTACGCTAATCCAGGAAGGGATTATCTTTTCAAGTAAGATTATAATTACTGCACTCTCAAAAATACCACGATGAAATATTTGATAAAGAAATTATTGAAATAAATATACACTTAACAGACTAAGATAGTCATGCAATAAAAATCAAACAGATCATTGCACTATAAGTTCACCAAACTTCCATTATATAATTTATAAATAAAGGAAAATATAAAATTTAATTTAATACAGTACTGCGAATTGGCACATATTAAGTTTAGTAATGCGTTTTAAATAGCAACATTATTTTTAAGCTCTAAAGGTATAGAAAGGTCTACTATCAGATCTACGGATGGTGATATCTTACGTAGACATATGCAAAAAAATGAAATTCCAACTATTACGGCGAGAATCGGGTCAGTTTAGCCTAATTGTTGTACATGTAATCTTTTTTATTATCTTGTTATCTGTTAACTGGAAGTTTTTCTTCTGATAATAGAGACCATCATAGACGCATATCGATTATGAAAGGACGCGAATGTGTTCCTTTACAGGTACAGCATTGTATATACTGAATATTATTTGGTATGTGTTATACAATAGCTCCTAACTTCAGACTAGGCGTAGGCTACCGTATTATGCTTTATGCTTGTATAATACTGGTAGTGTCAACCCTTAGAATTGGATAATCCTAAGAAATATCTAAGTTAATCCCGAATATTCCAGGGCTGTAAGCATACATCAGTTATGCTATGTATCCAGCTTAGAATAGCTTATAGAAATACAGAATAAGGCCAACAAAATAATGCCGAATTTATTCAATACTAGCTTCTGATATACAGTCGAAGTAATATAGTACCGTGCTGTGCTGAACCCGATAACTCATCAACATACATTGGCATACAAGTTACAGTTACATCGTTACCTCTTACATAATATTGTATACCGCATCATGTGCTATAGTATTATAATATCTCGTAATAACATCTTCTCATTAACACTATCTTACACATAACCTGCTAGATATTGCTTGTCTCGCAATGAACGCCACAGATTCGTAGTAAGAATAAATGTGCGTGTTATGACATTACAATTAAACTATTTCGGATGGATAGATGTGTATAATGTATGACTTATACGTTCCTTAGGATTGACAGTAAAACAAAAAATAATAGTACGTGCTTTATGATAATAAGCAAGTTGTTTCTTATTCGAATGCTTTTTGAGCATTAAATACATATGCATCATGTAATGCGTACCATTACTGCATCAGTCATTATCGAGTATGTCAGTAAGACTATGGTGATACATAGCTTATGTGATAATGTTCAAATAATATAACGATGTGTATATAGAAGGTAGCAGTAGAAGAAAGGAGCTTTATTAGTGTATCGTTATATAAGTCTCAAGCAGTTTGATATTCCCTCAGGCTGCAATTCAACATGCTCTTTATTCCTATTCCACTGCTCTCGCGTCTGTCTGTTTGCTCACGATACATTAGTATTTATAGCCGGTCTATGTCGCATACGAGTATATTGTATGCAATAATTATACAATACATCAATTACAATTGCAGTACACTGCTAGCGTACAGTGTTTACAATACAAGACGATTACTGTAACTGTATCACTAAAACTCGAACACATCACGTCAGGGTTTACTAACCGTAGCTTAATAATTCTATGTTTACAATATTACAGTTCCGTTACAATTAGTGCAACGGCCAGATCCAGCTAACATAGAGAGATCAATGACAACATGAAGCTAACCCCTCAGTGCTGCAACTGACTTTAGTTACATCTAACACATATATATACTGTATATAACTGCATGTTGTATACTCGTAGCATAAACAACATAAGAAACAATGAACGATTGTGCATGAGTAGGTGCACGGCAGTAATACGATAGCTTATTTTAAAGATTAGCAATAAAACCGATCAATTTATATCAATCAATTTTTTTAAAAGTGATACTCCAAAAATCGTACTGATGATTAAATTCTTTATTTTTATCAATATTTTTTATTAGCAAAACATCACAATTTCAAACGTAGATGAAGAGGAAACTGTAATTAACTGGTTTCAGAACGTATGGAATACATTTCAAAGACATGAATTCTTAAAGCAGCTCGTTAAAATTTTAAATGCACCATTAATGTATAGATGCAAGAGAATTATTTATAGCTAGCATGGTGAGTTAGTATTCACACTAATTACTCTATTAAAGTTGCATGCAAGCTGATATGTAAAAAATGCTGAAATTTGCTCATATTATTCGATAACTGAATTGTACGATTGGAAACACTGTTATAGATTTCACGCTCCTCGTTAATAGTATATTTATAAACTTAACTTACTACAACAGAACGTTGTCTAAACAGTTGGTATATGTAAACTCGATCAGTTAGATCTGCAAATAGCTATAAATGAGGATAAGCATATATCCCTTCACGCGTGTTCAGGCTTATTTCAATATAGCAAGATGAGTTATTATGATTGCGGCTTAAAGAAATATGTCTATGTATAAAAGTACACTCTCTTAAGGGATCTAAGGAAAAACAAGATTTTATTCTTAGCGAATAAAACAGAAGATACACCTCATACGACACTTAAAGTTTCGAGTCATAAACTTTTATCATTATGGCACTACCTCCTTGCATGCATAGATTGGGTATATCACAACCTGATAGCATGCCAGAGGTATCAATATATTGCATGGTACGGATTCATAATCTAACCCTTGAGTACAGTACTTAATAATACTGTCGTAAGGTTGAACATATCTCATAAACTATCTTTACGTAGGCAACATTATAGTATATACTAATTTTCACAGAACAGTAGTACTACATGAAGTATTCGCAACATTTTACACAAGGTCAGAACAGTACACTACAATATTACAGTTAGCGGCAATTTTATTAAATTAACCTTTCGCATTCAAGGTCACATCGTTTCGTAATATTTGAGAAAGTAGGTTTATATCCGATTAATGTTTTGCTGTCTTACAGTACTATATATAATTAATCAATAACATGAATGACTTAATCAAAAGATGAAATTTTTAACCGAAAATCCGAAATAATAGTTTTACTTACTTACACATCTTGAAAAACTCAAGGATACGAAAGTAGTTGCTCTAATATGACTGTGATCTCTAAAAACTATAACTATTTCCCTAGTATTTTTTGTCACATATACCAAATAGAACGCAAATATATCAGCTTAAATCGGCTTCTATTCAGATAATTAATAAAAGAAATATTGCTGCAGCTACTAGATAGTAAATTACTATTTGATCAGTTATTTTGTAGTAAATTCTCGAATCTTGAATTTATCCCAATGGAACTATAACATCACGAAATAATCTTGCCTTCTGAAGTGCTTATTATTACATCTCATAATAACATAATTCATTACTAAAAATAGTCTACTGCAGGTGTCCCTTTAAATTAAGTATGTTATGTTCAGTGAAGCTAACTTTCAGTAATATTTCACTTACTACAAATCATAAAGCTAACGCAACAATCACTCATGTGCTTCTTAATTGTACGCATCAACTTCAAAATCAATAAATGTATCTTGTATAATTAATTATTAGTTGATTGCAAGATTAAAGTTAGCTACACCTTATTTATCTTTTCGGTTATTGCTCCAATCATAATCTAGCGGCGTTTATCAGATGTAGATAGAATAGAATATCCCACGTAAAGAAAAATACAGTATAAGCTTATCTACCAGTACGGGATACTTGTATGACGCCAGTAGAAACTTTAGTAATGCCTTACATAACGTTTATAGGTGAGCCTGAAATGGCAGATGTTGGCGGAAAATGATCAGCTATGGAAGCTGAAATGTAAAGAAAGTAAAATCGTAGGTAGGTGAAAGCTAATACATATAGCAATCAAGGAAGCCACATTGCAAGATTCTACATTTGTAACGGTACATAAATCCGTTAGTAACTTTCTTATCCAGAACCATCTGTAGTATACGATATATGATGTATGTCGTAATTGTAACGTTCTCTGTTTATAATTATATATTTATTATACGGCTACAATTCCTAGACATATTATCTACAATAGCATATTTGAGATAATTTATGTTCTATTGAAACAGCGCATAGGATTATTATTAGAACAACTTTTATTGCAATGTTTATTTGCGAGCTTTAGAAATGGATGTCTTTAGTACGTAGCCGTTTAATCAAAGAGCATACCATCACAAAAGAGTTGCATTGAATAGCGTTACTGAAATCTGTATAAATATATGCTTATACATGTAGTGTAATTCATATGTGGTAATAATTGTATAATTAGATATGATATAATCATCTATATGTATAATTAAAATGTAATACTACTACCGTATTGTTAAGATGCAGTATTGCAGTCTAACATGGTATTATATAGATTAATTAATATATGCTTACATACAACGTATATGCGCATAAGCTGTGGATTCAGCATGTAACTGAGGGTTGGATAGTACCTTCATGCTAGCAAGATCAGTAAAATTATGCGCGTAATATACATAACAGTTACAACTACTAATAACTGTAATGTTAACTATTCTTTATGGAGACGAAGATAAGATGATTGAGAGCAGATAGCTTTAATTTACAGTTAGAGTTAGGAGATAACACAGAGATAGGTTAGCGTAATAAATATTGTAGATCTATTGCAATGTTACTACCGCAGGTTCAACGAATCATTGTACAGTAAGTGACTAGTTAGATCTCGTAACACTAACCATAAATATTCTCTAAAGACATTCCAGTCCAAACAACACTAACGCATTCAGCAAGTGCTCAGGCTCTCTGGAAAAGAATATTTCAAACCAATCTAACTTTACGAAAAAATTGGGAACGAGGTCGTTGCAGAGTACTAGAAGTATCCGGACATTCCAATCGGTGCGTAATTGTGTGCAGCATATTTAGTTACTTTTCTTAAATTATTTTTGCTTTACGAACGATGATATTAATATTTCTATTGATTGTAAAACTGAATACAATTTGAAAATCTTAGAGTTTTGTGTGTTCGTTTTAACGGCCGAAGAATGGCTAGTGGAAGCTTAGATCGGACACTTCGGTATTAACACGTTATCAGTCAAGGTTGCATAGTTGTATTTCCAAAAATAACGAAAAAATATTCTTATTTAAATATTAACATTTTATGTAGAATATGGAATTCTTCGACTGGAATGCTGCTCCAGACACTTAAAGGACATACGGTATTATGAACTGCAAACGTATATTTAGCTAGGCAATCAATGCTCAATCATTTCGTCCTACAATATTACTACAGTAATTGCTGTGCTACACATGAGCATTTAAGCTGTACCAGCCAAGTCTACGTGTAAATATATTATATATTTATTGCACTATTGGCGATTTACTCACTGATAATAACTATTAATAAACCTTTAAATTTGTATTGACATTATGCTTGCATTGTTCGTTTTAGCGTGGTATCTGGGCAATAAGGTTTTATGGCCGAAATTCACTAGTGAGTTCATCATATGATGGCTCTATCAAGGTTAGTACAGCACAATCATATGTATTGCTTTTTATGTACTTTATCGCTAATATGAGCATTTAGCACTTTCACTACTTCACAAGTATTAGTAAAATCTGCGCAGAACATTATGATTGTCATGCTATTCTAAAGATATAATAGACTTACTAACTCCTGAGCTATCAATTCAGTTCACAATTATTTTTGATGGCCACTGACATCTTCTCTGACATCTGCAGATCTGGAACATAAAATCTGGTGCTTGCTTAAAGTATGTATTGTAAAGTTCTCTTTAATTTCTTAATCCTGCAGAAGCCCAAAAATTTATTACAATCCTGACGTTCTAGATCACTGATTTGTGATGATTTGACTCTGACAATTTGCTAGATTCCTAAATTGCACATATTATGAAAGTGTATCTTGCACGCGTACTTAAAGAATCACATTTGCCTCGTGTAGAACTTTATATAGTCATAATGGGCCAGTTTGGGCGATTGAAAGAAAAGGTGACCTGCTGCTTAGTGGTTCTCAGGATAAAACTGCAAAGTTATGGGATATCAGAAGACACAGGCTGCTTTTAACATTATCTGGTCATACTGCTGCAGTTTTTGCTGTCGATATTGATGATAGCATTTCGATTGCTCTTACAGGATCGGCAGACAGGGTAAGTACACCTTTATAGCAGTTAAAAATATCAAGATCTATGCTAGAATCCGCAAATAAGCAAGCATGTTTAGCTTAAATCTTCACTAATTAAAGTCCAAGAATTTAAACTGCGATCTTTCTCTAGCCCTTTATTTCGAAACATTTGCTGTATTCGATCGATAATATACTACGGTTTATCTGCGCGACAGTGTACTGTACATATCAATTATTATCCAATCTATTACTGTAATGCCAAACTACTGTACGATATTACTGAGTTAGGTTTCCAATTACCACTATATGTATGCTTTTATATATATATTATCTAGGTAATAGAGTTTGAAGGCTATTTTTACTATGATTGTTGTGATATGACTACCGTGCACCTACTTATGCACGATAGTTGATTGTTTCTTATGTTGTTTAGCGCTGCGATTGACGTCAATCGCGTGATAGTTATACTTACTATATTGCTTCATACATATGTACATATTGCAGTACCGTCAAGAGCTGTTAACAAGCACTATCCTGTATGCTACGATTGTACTGCATGCACTTATATAAGTATGTGTTAGATATAATTAAAGTCAGTTGTTGCATTGAGGGGTTACCTTCGTGTTGTCATTGATCTCCGTGTTCACTGGATCTAGCTGTTGTACTAATAAAGCTCCTTTCTTCTATCGCTACCATTTTTGCACATCGTTATATGAATATCATCACAATTGTCATTACGATATAGCAATACTATCTAAGAAAAATTCTTCAGTTGATCGCTTTAATTTTACAGAGTATTCGTCTATGGAATATTATTAACGGAGACTGTCACCGAATTATTTGGGCTGGTCATGCCTCATCCGTCATGGCCGTTAATATCAATATGGTATGAAAAACTTTGAGATATCTGTTTCGTAAATAGCTACCGTGATATAGTGATCTTCTACCTACTATAGGGATTCATAGCATCTTCTTCTGATACCATTATAACGCTATGGAATGCCAAAACTGGCGATAAGGTTCGTCAATACCTTGGCCATAGCAGAAGGTACAATTGATTTTTAACTTACTTCCTTCCCTTAAGTAAATTATGAGATAAACCTTATTGATTTGCAAATTAGAATTGAATGTCTGCAGCTGAGAATGACTGATCCAGATAATGTGATTGGCTACATTGTTAGTGCTGGAAGAGATGGCTTCGTCAAGTATTGGGACATAAAAGAGTAAGAAATCTGTTTCATAAAGTATCACAGCGTATGATGACAACTAAGATATTCATTCATTTAGTGATATTCCTTTTAAAGTCAAGTACTAAATAATTAACACCTTTAAATTATTCAGGGGCACATGTATTCAGACCTTACGAGGCCACATGGACGTGGTTAATTCTATCCATTTTGATGAGCTTAGAATTGCTAGCGCGTCATATGACCACGAAATCAAAATTTGGGACTTTAACGTTGATACAGATTCGGTAAATGTTACACCAAAGAGATAGCAATCGGATCAATCAGCTATTGTCTCGTCTATTTTAATCAATAACTAATTGCACTGTATTCTAACCGGATATTTCATCGATACTGGCTATCAAATCATCGTCTCAAACGAGATATTTGTAAGATTTTTAAGTAATGATTCAGAGAATTTTCTTCGAACAGATTTATTTGATAATGTTCGACAGTAAAAGTAAGGTTATATAATACAAATATATGGACATTACTTTAAATATTAGCTGTACTTACGTACAGTAAACAAACTGCTTAAGAGCTAAATTAAAAATTTGTTCGATGACTGCTTTCGGCTAATCAATGGAGGGATTGACAGCTTCAACAAACTCAATACCTTCTCCATCAGAAGGTAATTGATCAACATTTAAAACATTGTCTACATTAATGCTACTTAATAAATTATTTGATGATTTTGATCTGACACATTGAAAGTCGACGTGCCTGCCTCTGGCGTCTTCACTTTCCCATGACGCATGTAAGAATGGCCGTTGGATATAGTTATATATTACTATCAAAACAAGCAAGAGTTCGTTCTTATTCTCATTAATGATCGAAGGAGAGGTTACTCGAATTTGCTACTTTGCTAATGTAGCCCTATTTAAAAAATAGTGAATGCAATGGAACCAACAATTTACGCTATGAACTTACCTTCAGGTCTAGCACCACTTCCCCTGTGTTTAACTTTGTCCATATACGTAGGGCAACCTGTATGCAATAAACAAATGATCAAGCAATTAACATACTCGATCGTGGGTGAATGCACAAGTATTCAAACCTTCAATCCCCAATCTTATTTTCTTCAATCCTTTCTCTTTTAATACTTCTTTCACAACGTCACGATTTTCAACAAATTTAAAAAATCTGTACATTTCTGAATTGAATATCACTAAAGTAGAAGAAGAGATCATTACAGAACAAATAGTATTTCAATTAAATTAACTATATTACTTAAGCCTGACATTGCAATTATCAAATTAGCCGCAAGGTATATAAATCATTTCAAGATATTGACAATTTATAGTACTCTTTTCAAAACAATCACACAACTTTGCCAGACAAAAATAAACTGGATTCTTTACTAAAATCTAGTCAAGGCGTTTACATTGGGCTCTTTCTTCATTTCTTGGAGGATACTCTTCATCCCAGTTAATGTAATCATCTTCGTCTAAGATGACAACATGACATTCTCTTATTCCTGTCTAGTGTACAGTATATTTAAGCAAGTATATAAAAACCATTCTGAATTGTTAAGCATTGCATTACTCCTATTTATGACCTTCAATATCGAAAGATTTATATAATACTGACTTTATCTAAGAGTAGGTTACTATATTAAATAACTGCTTATAACAACTAGTAATCCTTTAGTTCATTCATTACGTTACCTCCGCGCAAGTAGCCATTGCTGGAAGTATATGGTCCTCCAAGAATTTTTCAAATTGCTTACGAGCACCATCATTCGACAGTTCGTGCAGTAAATCCTCTACAATTAATAAGATCAACAACATTTCACTTTTATTATAAATAATCTTTAGATAATCGCAATATGAGATATTTATAAATTATAGACCCAAAATGCAGAATTGGTACTTTATAACTTGTAAGTATATACACAATGTTTAAGATATAGTTTCCATCTTCTCTACATATTCCAGAAATTGAAGGCCGTACTTCGTGACTACGCAAAGACTGGATGTTTTTCACAAAAATACATAGAAAATCCAAGTATATATCACAATATGTGCTGCAGTACTCTAATGTAATGAAAATAAAATGATTACATTATCATAGCGGGTCATTTAGATTTTCGCTAGCTATTGCGCTTACTGTAAACCAGTTAGAAATACAAACTTGATAATATGAATAGATCTCGTTATAGCAATACTAAATGACATCAAAAACGCAATTTATGTGCTTCCGTATTGACATTAATCTAATCATCTAGGCTGGTTGTGTATTGACCTGGAACGCTAGATCGATATTGAAGTGGTACCATGGATAAGCCATTTAGCGACTTGGCGTTGAAGTAAAATTTAACTGAGTTTCTAAATTATTAGCTGTGAGTAGTTCATCCAAGTACATTCTCCTAAGATGTACGAACAACTTGGGAACATAGGGAAAATGCTAAATATACAGTATGATTTACATTCCTGCTGAAGACTATCGATTACAAATCTGTAATTGTTCGAAGATATGTTAATTTACGACTATAAATCTGATATTTTGGCTAAAATACGAGCTAAATGCTGACTGCATTTATTCATTAACATTAGGGTCTATTTGATGTATAAATTTGATTTTGCCGGCCTACAGTAAAGCTTATTTCTAGAAGTATACCTATTGCAGTTACTTACTCAGGTTTTGACATTTGATAGTCTTGAAGTCGAACGGAATTAAAAAATAGTCACAAGCTTCCTTGAGTTCTTTAATGGAGACACTGGGTGGGCAAGAGATGTAACCATATTTATAAAATCCCTACACAAAATTACGTCGAACCTTAGAATAGTTTATTTTCTTTCTCGTTTAATAGGAATGAACGATGAGATACGATAAGTTCAGCCAAAATGGGAAAGGTTTAAAAAAGTCTAATAAGGGTATAATCCATGTTATCCATACAGAGTTTACAGCATATACCGAAGGATAATAATAATGCAGATGTAACACTTCACTGTACGGTACTGTATTACTGATAGCGAATAAAAGTCAACTCAATTGTTGCTATAAATTGAAAGTCTGCGACGCATGACCGGAAAATTCCTTATTTGATCCAAAAATAACTTATCTGCATGTAATAACTAGCAAAGAATTTTGTATAGTAATATATTAAGTGTCAAATCTTGTTTCTAAGCATAAAACTAATTAATCACTTTAGCTTACCAATATACTCTTAAAAACTACAGAGGAAACACCTTTGCTAACTTCGTATTCACCATTTTCATTTGATTTAGTAATGCTACTTTCAAGACATGAGCCAAACATTCTAAATATATTTAAGTAAAATTTATAAAATTAACTAAAATAAACGCAGATATTTGTAAGTTACTCGAAAAGAACTAAGTAATATTTAAAATCATTTAAGGATTTAAATCGTTAATATCGTCATTATTACAGTATAATCTATAGCTAAAAATACACTTTGCTCTGCCAGTCAGCTTCAGTAGTTTCCTGACTCTGCCTACTATCATTTATGAGTAACTTCACATCTCTCAGTGTCCAAATATAATACAGAATGTGAACCAAATACAGTAGTTAATTACCTGCCTAGCATGGTATTCGGATGAGCGACAAAAATGGACTTTTCCACTACAAACCGAGTATCTTCAACTACTAATGTAAGCTTCATTTTACGATCACCGTCTGATAATGATGTAAAATTTCGCTAAAACTAAAAATACCTCATTTTTTTATGCAATAACGTATCTTTTAGACTTTTTTATTTACTATATACCGTACTGTATTGCTGTTATCATATGGCTATCATGGGCATACTGTATTATAGTATATACTGTATATATATACATACAGTACGTAACATGCTGTACAGTATATACTGTACAGTACATATATACTTGTAGTAGTGTAGTACTGGGACATTATACTACTATACTGTACTGTACAGTACAGTACAGTACGTTACTGTATACTGTAGTATACTGTACAGTACTGTACATTACTGTACTGTACAGTACTGTCGCTGTGCAGTACTGTACAGTATACAGTACAGTACTGTACTTTACTGTACAGTACAGTACAGTACTATCCTGTACAATACCGTAATAATAATAGACTGTAACGTACCGTTTACTTACTGTACTGTACAGTACTGTAGACCTGAAAAACTTCTATCACCAGCACTAGGAACAGGACATGCTGGAGATGCAGTTTACGAGGCTATTCAAAAAATGTGCAAACCGTACTCGCTCAGTCAGCGGGTACTGTAGAATGTGCACTAGTCGTGTCCGAGACCTTCACTTCTCGATCAATAAGATTATGCGAAATACTAAATTAAACGTAACATTGAATTATACTTCTGTTACTGTAGAACTATGACATTATAGCATTTTTCGCCATAAATTACGGAAGGTTGACGCAATAGATTCATTTTCTTTCCTATAAAGTAGAAGATATAATTATAATTATTGGTAAATAAAGTTGCAAACCTACTTTAAAGTAAAATGTTTACCAAGCACGAAATAATATAAACCAGAAAGTTATTGTTAAATTTCATTATTATTAATAGATCAATCAATTCTTAATGACTTTAGCGTTCCCATGATTGCTTAAACTGCTGTATTTGCCAAGTACATAAATTTAAGTAACTGTTTTACGAAACCTCATCGTTGCATTATACTGCTCACGCAACTCACTGTGACAAGTTTAGCCGGTATACTCTCGTACATAAAAGTAGTATTTTCTTGACGCCCATAGAAATTATATTTATAAAATCATCGTGTCTCGAAAGATTATGATTACTGTCATTGTAATAGCGCTAGAGTACTATACAGTGTACTGCACATACAGTATAGCAAGTGAAGATTCGAATTCCTACTAGGCTATCCGCTCGTACCGCACGGTAATTAGTAATGCTGAATGGGTTATCTCTACTAAGTCATCGCCATCATTACCTACTTTGCTTCTACCTCAACTCGAACATAACCAAGAATCTAATTCTGTAAATGCCGCAGACTGTCACGCATGCATGTAACGGACAGTGCACGGACTTAACATGTATATGATCATTATGATCTGTTGCGAATGGAGATAACGCGTAATACTGTTGCGACTGTTCTCAAATTGGCGTGTATTACTCGACTGTAGATTCCTGAAATTTGCTATATTGATTTTCAGTGAATCAACAAAGGATCCCAAAGCACCTGGTCTAAGAATAAAGATTGATAGTAAACAAAATACTGCCCCAATGTAGCTTAACGATTATAATTATCGATCATGTCAAAGGAAAAGAAAAAGTGCCGTCGCAAAGTACTGCCCTTTATTTAATTTTGTACGAGTTTACGCACATATTAGTGCTTTTCTTTTCATATAGGTGCAATTCCTACACTTGAATACTGTTAGTACTTCGATATACGTTACTCTCAAGTTTGATCGGTAGATTGTGCTGTATAAAAAAATTGCTAACTCAGAATCAAACTTCGTGACGCAAATGGCTCACAATAGAGTAATAATTATAATTAACTGTAAGAAATCAATAACGTTGATATTAATATCAGAGAATGTCTTTAACAATACGTGCTATTGAAACAATAGAACGAACAAAGAAAATTTATGAAATTTTCGTAGTGATGGTACGTTTCTTATAAGTTGTAAAGTCATTGCAAGAAATTAAACAAGGGCTGTGGAAGTAATCAGAGGGTAGTCGCACGGAAGGTAATTTTCTTATCTCTCAATGCTCATAAAGTACATTAGATAAGATCTTAGTGAAATACCAATCTGGCTGACAAGTTGGAAAATTAAGAATTGTTACGTGTATAGTGGATCCACCAGTGGACACTGAATTTTCTCTGTGAAGTCAAGTTGATTGAATGACTTCGAGTGTCAAACAAAAACCTATAATTGCACGGTTGATTCCTTCAATAACTTTGCCCTTGATTTTATCCAAAAATAGGAATGAATGCTCTCTCCGTTATCATCAGTGGTAGCTGCTCTGCTGTTATGTTAATTCTATTAGTGTCATGCACTTGGTGTTTTAAGCGACGAAAGTCAAATAGCAGTCGTGGATCATCGCGTCAAAATTTTACGACAAATTTTATGAATAAAGTAAAATATCAAAAAATACACAATACTACAAATTCTTCAAATAATACGCAACTAAGTTCACAATCCGTGAAAGGTAATAAATAACGAGTTACTGCTGCTTATCTTTCAATATTAGATTAGTCGATGTAGTTTCACTTTTAATGAAAATATTATTTGTATAGAATAATTTGTAAATTTATTCAACACTCTGTAATTTAGCGCTAGGATACGCCAAACTTGGAAGCGACAGTCAAGCACCAACCGTAACAAAAGTAACAGAAGAGGAGCCAGAAGAACAAACTTTATCAGAGGACCTCGGCTCAATACAGTTTTCTTTAAGTTATGATTATTCTAAAATGACGTTGATCGTTAAAATTATGCGAGCATTTAATTTACCCGCGAAAGATCTCGGTGGTACTTCTGATCCATTTGTTAAAACAATGCTGTTACCAGATAAAAAGCATAAACTCACTACTAAAGTCAAAAGAAAAAACTTAAATCCTGTGTGGGGCGAAACATTTGCCTTTGAAGGCTTCCCAGCAAACAAGTTACAAAGTCGAATACTTCACTTGCAGGTCTTAGATTATGATAGATTTTCCAGAAATGATCCAATTGGTGAAGTAAATCTCGATATGGGAGAAATAGAATTAGGAGACGAAGTAATGTTTAAAAGAGACCTGCAGCCATGTAATTCCCGGGTAAGCGATTTAAAAACCCTTTCAAAGATTTGTTAGTTCTTAAAGACCTATTTACGCGGTAGGTCGTAGATTATTGCTCATAAAATTTATAGAATCTATTAATAATGGTAAGTTCAAATAAATGAATTGAACACCTTTCATTACTTGTGACATAAAGCGCGGACTTTTCTGTCTTCTAAAATAAGTCTGACTAATTATTTTGGTAAGCAGAAAATTACAATTTACAATTTCATTAGTATAACTATACTATATACAGGAAAGTATTAAAAGAGTGACGTGTTACGAAGAAGCAAGTTAACATTTTCGTTTAAGCACGGTACTATTGCTTACCCCCAAAATACACATTTTCAATAAATAGGCGTAAGTAAAGAAGGAAAAGTAGTATCAATAAGTTATAAACTAAGAAAAGAAATCCATTAGCTTGCATGCACCTAACTTCGCTAGATTTCTTTAAGCTGTTTCTCCTCAAGATTTGATAATAAAGCCTTAAAGATATGTAATATCGGATTACAGCTTCAGCAACTGTTGAAAATGTTACTCTCCAGCATCATATCTATTAATGGGGATTGCGCTACTAGGTAGGAGTCATACGTACGAGATCAAAAGAAATTCTACTAATTACTTCACAGTTTGAAGAACTTTACAAGAAAAAATGGTTAAATTTGCTACTGTCACTTGCTTTTTAGCAACACTTTATGTATTTTCATGGGCTTGTATACAAGAATGTAGATTCATTTGCCCAATATAAATCACTGGCAGCTGCAATGAACTAATTAAATTAGCACATATTATCAAAGTAAGTTATGACAAAACCCTATAGTACTTTTAGAATGAGATTATAATCACACGAATACCACATAAAATGGAGCCAAAAGTTTTAACAACTGTTTGCAAGGTGTAGATGGCCAACTTTTTTGATACATTCCCGAAACCGTTCAATCCTGGCTTATGTACTTTATGCACTAGGGAATAACAGGTAATAAGTCTATATATCTTGCAAAGAGCCAAATCTGTATCAAAATAACATCTAGCTGCTAGAAAACGCTCCTTCGGTATTTATTAAAAAGGAAAAGTTAAAGTAATAATTATATAACTAATCCATCCAAGCACAATAAAATCGTTACTGTTTTCTGTAGCGTTATCTTGGATAAAGATTTAACGCCAGTAACAAATAGCGATTTCTTCTATATCGTACGTTCATTATAGCACTTTTCAAATGCCAGAAGTGTTTAAAAATGAATGCAGATAGCAATAATCTGTACTTGAAAACTTAGCTACTACTCTTCTCAGTCATTGATTTCACCGCAGAATAGCTAAATCAAATTATTTCATCATATAACAGTTATATATAAATTTCTATATGGATCATACAGATTCGTTTAATAATTAGATACCGTGTTATGCCATCTTTAGATACGTAGTATAATTTTAAGTTTACTGAATATTATATATATAATAACATAATAACTAATACTCGTAAAAAGAGTTTATTCGTGAATTATGACTTAATGTAGATTGAACATATTGGAAAACGCGTCTACATAATAGTTTAGAATGTCTTACAATTTCTGTAAGTGAGCCATTTCAAATTATTACTTTATCATATTGAAAATACTTATTGTTATAATCGTTAACATGACCGTACCTATAATGCCGACATATTATCGTTATTATTAATTTAGAGATAATGTTCTGTAAAATCCTATAATACTGTGCAATAACGCTTGCACTGCTGTTCCGTGGTTATAGCGCTTAAGTCAAAAAATTAATTTTAGTTATTTTAAAAGTGGTCCGTAGATTTTTTGACTTTTAATTTGATATATTTCAGAGTATCATTAAATAAATTACATAGTCATCCTTAATAATCAAATATTCGTACTTTTGACACTATAATGGTCGGTCCAAACGAGGCTTACCGATAAAATTTTGAGGTATTATTTATAATAACACAAGATATTCTTTCCAATTAATTTTATGCTGTGCTTTTTTTATAGCCATGGAGTATGTACTCATACGTATACATCACCGTGGCCCCATACCATTAATTTGAACTCTACATTTATTTAATATACTGTTGGCGCATATAAAAATATTACCCTAGATATAAACTACAAAGTCGGATTAATATTAGCAGCACTTGTCTGTAGACTGATCTCAGTTAGTATTCATTGTTTTGCTAATATATTTTCATTATCAGTTCCTTTAATGCCAAAGTAATTTATGGTATTACAGTTTTCATATAAAAACCCACTCTCTTAGGGCAAATTAGGTGATCTACTGCTGTCGCTATGCTATCATCCAACCACCGGTGACTTAACAATAGTTGTAATGCGCTGCAGAAATCTAAAGATCATGGATATTTCAGGGTCTACAGGTAGGTGCTTAAGCACTATACTGGTACGTCATTAATAGTTTCAAAAGCTGGAATGTGGTAAAAATGTAATGCAAACCTTTCTATTTGCACACAGATCCGTACGTTAAGCTATCTTTAATGTATGGGGATAAAAGATTAGAAAAAAAGAAAACTACAGTGAAAAGAAGAAGTCTAAATCCCGTATTTAATGAATCATTTATGTTCAATATACCATTTGAACGTCTAAGAGATATTTCATTAATTATTCATGTGATGGATTATGATAAGTTATCAGCAAACGATTGCCTTGGACATATCTCGCTAGGAACTCGAGCGACGGGTTACGAGTTAAAACATTGGAAAGAAATGTTAGCATCTCCTAGGCGACCAGTTGCAAAATGGCATATGATACATACTTGAAAACTTCGATATGACTACAGCAATGTTAATAAATATTAATTTATTATTTTAAATTTGTAGATACTCCTTCGTTTGTTTAACAATCCTATAGATCAAATTTTACGATTTTCTCTGCTCGCTATTTTCCTCTCTGCTGTTACACTTAATTAAAACAGAGAATTTTGATCAAAATGTTCCATCTACAGAAAAGTTTACAAATCATACACATCATACAGTACAACATAAAAAATAACGCCCTATGTTTCTGAAAGGGAGAGCTATGTTAGAAAAAGCAGTTTCGTAACTGCGATTTATTTAATAAATATTGAAACATGTGGCTTTTTATGTTCATATTTCAGAGAATGTAATGCCAGGGTTTCTATAACTAAACTTGACCACCTATTACCCTTATCGATACACCTTGTTTTGACCAAATGTTCAAAAATTAAAAATTTCCGACTGTAACTTTACAGATCCTAATAAAGGTTGACAGTAAATTAAATTTAATTTTGTGTACATAATTTTTGCCAGATGAAGAATTCTTATTTTAAACGTATTTTACTGCATTGCCTAATATTAGTACAGCATACGTAAAATAATACTCATGAACTAATTAATAATAAGAGCACCTTAACGCTAAGTATTGAATTAACGAATAGACCACCTTTATAAATTAATACCGATGTACCTGTACAGTACTTTCCTCCTAATTCTTTAAAGTACAGTATATTCGCAAGTTTGTCCGTAAGACATGTAGTAGTGGTGGTCATAGCTGTAATGGCAAATCATTTTCATTTAAAGATTATATTTGTAGCGATGACGTAACTTCTTGATTGACCGAGTCACTGTTTACATCTTCTTAAAGGGCCCATAGGAGCGTGATTATAGTCATCATTAATAATTTTATAAAGTCACGATAGTACTGTGCTGCCCGCGATATTCGTTGGAAAGATTTTTCTAGCATAACTTGCGTGTGCGTAGTTAGGTACTAAAAGGTTATATTTTACTATATTTACGAGCCCTGGCCATGAATTAATATAGTAGGTAGTTGCTATGTTATACTGTACGTAATATACTATAGTACATGTGAGTAAATATGCACTGCTCAGAAAAGTGCTATGGATTATATCGTGTATCAAAATATATCTTTATAGTAGTGTCTACTTAAACTGCTAAATAGCTTATCTTCGTACTTTTATTCGCTTGATTCAGATTCGGCTTTGTAGTTTACGTAAAAAGCTTATTAAAAACCTTAACAACGGTATATTAACACCGATAGCAAAATTTAATTTGCCGTTGTTTATTCTTCCGAATCATCTAGTATCTCTTAAGATGTCCCATAAATTTACCTAATGCATACATGACTTGAAAAATGTTTTTTAAACTTTATTTTGTCATTATGTGAACGGTATTAACAAAGGAGATATTTAGCCTTGTTGTTAACAACGGCTGGATTTGACATTATACAGTAATCGGATCTTTTCTTATATTTTGTGGTTTCCTGCATGCGAACTGCAAATTCAAAAAGACAATAAAAGTACTGTACTATAGTTATATATATATAGCTGGAAATTCGTGGAAGAACGCCCACTATGAAAATCGCAACAGTTTCGCGCCTTCATGTTAGGCTAGGTAGTCGACGTTTTAGGTCAGGACGTAGAAATCACTAATAATTATAACATCACTTATTAATGCATAAGGAGACTGCAATGAAGCTGCTAACAATAATCGCATTACAACCGGAAACTAAAAATTCTCTAAATTTTTCATAGTATAACAGTCGATGTGCAGCTTGATGGAAAATACGACATTCTATGTTCAATATGAATATGCGGAATAATACCAAAAGGTAACCATAGTTCGAGCATCAAAACTTCCGAACGTTTGGACTAACCAGCTAGACACCTACGCTTTGATTCATCTTGCCAGAGAAAATAGAAATCTAAAGAACTACAACTTACAAAGACTATCAATCCAGAGTTTTACGAAGATTTTGTGGTAATGGTCTAATAAGCATTACTATTTATTGCGGTTTTATCATCGATAAAGACGAACGCAAGTATTGACGGAATTATTCGAGAGATTGTAATAAGTCTATAATTTCTCCATTTATACCAGAAGTCGAGAATTGAAGGCTACTTTCAGAACAGTGAATAGGTACTTCCATTAATCATTAAACAGTTTACTTTAAAATTATGTCCTGTCAACTTTTAGAAACAAGCTAGTCTTTTCAGTACTACTAACACCATCACTGATCCTTCAAAGGAAATCGTGATCAGCCTGTAAATCCTAAAAAAGCAACACTCGTTGGCATACCCTGCATGAACCGTTGATGTCATACGTACGATACTGTGTCTCCATTATATGTAAATAAATAAAATAGAAAATCATTAATGTAAGTCTCAAGATACTACTACGGAAAGCTATAAATTTAAAAAATTGCATCAAATTGAGATAAAACTGGCTTTTATAAGAATTTTAATAATTGAGATGATTATAGAAACTTCTACATACGAGAATTAAATGGCTATTAGGAAATATTCGAGTGTTGTCACCTTAAGTGCTTAATGTCAACTTTGAATAAAATTGAGATACGTTAAAGCCTTAAAACTAAGATACGATGCGTACATGTACTCGTACCTTAAAATTTTCTGTCATAAATGCTTTCTGTAAATGCTGATGCTTGCTTAAATTTGATATTAAAAACGTAGCAATATCAATACTAGAAAATATTAATTTGTAATAGTTGGTCAAAATTCTGAAATGATCAGAAAATAAACATGTTGACGGCGATGTCATAACTGTTATTAAAATTAGAATTAACTATGTATAAATGAAATGAAAGTTAATTGTATTTAATCAGTTACAGTATAAGCGAGAAATTTTTAGAAATTACTGACGTAAAAGGTGTACTTTCTTAAATACTTTTTTAATCTAAAAGAAGTCGTACGAAAAAATTTTTCTGTATTACGAATACATCCAAAGTAGCTGTACAGTCATATAGCCAGGCTATTCAGATAGATTACAAATCTGATTTACTAGGCATTTTTGGTTCCTGATCGACCAAAATTGTTTTGATCGAATAATCTTGTTTTCTGGTAAAAGTGAAACAAAAATGTATTTATTATAATTTATATCAAAGTTTTTAAGTGTTGCATGTTAACGAAGAATTTCTTTCATCTTACGATTCGCTTCAAATCATTTTGGAGTTCTTCTCTTTCAACGTTTAATCTGCCAATTTCTACTGATAATCTCGTACATTTTTCTTGGAGCTATTTCCAGAAAAAAATTTTCTCTTCAATTGAATTAATTGACTGTATCAATTCATACACATAGTAGTAACGGTAATGATATATTAAATAACGATATAAAGCACTGACATTTCACTAATACCTCCTTTTAATAAAATAAATTTCGCAAATAATATATTAAAAAATTTTTTTAATTTTCAAATTTGAATTCAATGTGACTCAAACTCCGAGATAACATTTATAGTATTTTTCTATGATGAAAAATTCGTTCTAAGCTATATTTTCATTTTTAAAAATCTGATGATATCCAATAAAAACTGACAACAGCTAAGAATCTTATTAAAGAAATTATTCACTTTTGTTTGATGAGAGTATTATTTTAAAGATATGAGTAACCTTTTTTTTGTCAACTCTTAAAGAATTGTTCTCTCCAACAATTTTTGCTACTGAAGAAGAATTTTCCAGTTTTTTAGGGCTTACAGTCGGCGAAGAAATATTCGTAGTAGTCTGAAATAATATAACATTGTAGCAGACTCGTCGTAACGCTAACCCTAACTAATCGTTTAATTTTATGACGAGCACAGCATGAATAGGTAAGCTTTTATACCGAAGTTATTTCATGATTTTCTAATCTAGTTCTCAGAAATGCATTTTCAGACTGCAGCTTTTGAATTATCCTTTTCATTGAGTTGATAGCCTTATTAGAGTTCTCATTTGGTTCTGGTCTAATATTATACATTTCAAAATTTCAAGTTAATGTTTTCCAAGTGATGCACATATCATTATAGCATAAAATTGGTTTCTCCTACGCATAAATGGCGTACGTAAATGCTGAATTATTCGGCTGGGTGGTTCGCAGTAACGATATTTCTTTATTTTGATCTTTACTGGATAATTTTACGGATCGTTCACGATTTATTCTTAGAATAAAAAAAAAAATTGCTGTATTGTTTCGTAAGAATTACTTTTTAAATAAAAATGCTCGACGATTTCAATTAAGATTACGCTACCTATTAAATGCTTCAGTTAGCATTTCGTTTCGTTTAATAACCGCTTTTAATTCAAAGTCTTTTTCATCGAGTTTTAGTTTTAATTTATCAACTCGCTTCTGCAAGTTTTTATTATCCTCCCAATAATCCCGATTTTTTTTCAAAACCTGAGAAACCATTAAATTTTTAAACTAAGTTCGTTTTTACCATGCTTTATTCTTTAAAGTATTCTTAAATTTAAGACTTACAGCTGCATCGGTTTCACTAACAAAGTTTGATCTTAAAGTTCCGACGGCGTCTGGGCTTTCATCTTGATCAGACTTTTTCTATAAACAAAATAATAGCAAATTTTCCACTTTTCGAAAAAGAGATAGAGCAAGACCACTAAAATATTTTTCTTCGCTCGACAAAAAAGCTAAGCAGTCGACTACAGAGCATATTTGACGTAACCTGTTTAGTTTTAAAGTCTGCTTTAATTTGCCCATGTTTTCGAAGCCTTTCAATCATAGAATCCTTTGACTTGCATTGCTAAATGAAGTTTGACCATTCTTTAATTATAGTTAATTTTTTAAAGTTTACATTACCTACATTTTAAAATTATACGATACCTCCAGGTACTTTCTTAATTCAGAATTTAAGAGCACTTCAGTTTCTTGTTTATCTTTCAATAATTTCTTATAATGGATAATTTTTTTATTTTTATCTTCAATTTGCTCTTTTAATGGCATGGTTTCACGTTCAATTAACTGCTGTACATTAGTACTTTCTACCGGTGACGATT